CAACAAGAGTTCCTGGGCACTTCCAGGGCAAAGGACTTGATGTGTGCAGACTTGTGACCCAGCGTCCCGGCTTAGGCTGCTCGCTCTGAGTTTAACGCATGTGCAGAGCTGGCAAACAAAGTATGTTTCTGCACACAAACCATAGAACTCAGTCGCCCGCCCATTAGGGCTTTCATTCCCAGAACACATCTGCACTCTCTTGATTTTGCCTCAATCTCTGATCCCTCTCCTCTGCCTCCTCCATCTAACAGACCCCGAGTCACACTAAAGCCTCACTCAGCTGTTATCCTCACTGTGAGGCCGGGCCCCATCGCCCAGGTGATGCAGCTACTCCATCCTCTGGGTTCCTCGGGACAGGAGAGTGAAGCCTACCCCTAGGAGAGCCACACTGAGGCAGGATAGAAAGATGAGGAAAGGGGGCTGGAGAGATGGCTCAGTGGTTAAGAACATTGCCTGCTCTTCCAAAGGTCCTGAGTTCAATTCCCAGCAACCACATGGTGGCTCACAACCATCTGTGCTGGGATTAAAAGCACGGGCCACCACCCAGCAAGAGAGAAGGTTTTATAGCAAGCAACCTTTTGAGATGTAACTTAATAAATACCAAAAGGTCGGTCGGTCTCTCTCTCTCTCTCTCTCTCTCTCTCTCTCTCTCTCTCTCTCTCTCTGTGTGTGTGTGTGTGTGTGTGAATTTTGCATGAGAGAAAGAATTTGATAATTACTTTTCTGAGTCTAGTTACATCCATTGATACTGAAAATGGGGGTGAGGACATGAGTCAAAGAATCCCAAGCTAACTCCAAAAGATTTCAGTTATAATGCTTTATTATAAAGGGCAAACTCACAGAACAGGAACGAGAAGTCCAACCTCAGGTGTGTAATGCGGAACCAGAGAGAGCAGCCTGGGCAGGCTGGCGGTTTTTTTCTGGGTACCCAAAAGTCACACCCTAACCCGATCCAGCCTCTGAAAGATCATTGGCTGAAGGAGGCGCTCCATCAATCCATTTTCATGCAAATGGCATAATTTTACTCTTCTTCATAGCAAAAAAAAAAAACCCTCCATTATATATCTCACATTATATTTTCCTTTATCCACACCAGTTGTTTTCAAAGCTGCCAGTGTCCTATTATGTAGCTACATTAAAGGAGGGGCTTATCATCCCACCTGGTGAAGGGAGGTGGGCTGTCTTTGTGACCTTCACAGGCAGCAGAGAGACAGCCAAAGGAGGCAAGAAGACAGTTCAGTTTAACACGACTCAGAAGCCAGTGTTGTTTCAAACTTTGGTAGTCTGACTCCAAATGGTTTATTTCAGGCATTTTTCTGCACTGCACAATTTGGTGGAAACTATTCTGGTCATAATTAAGTCGACCCCGTATGCACAACAAAGCACACGTAAATTATCTCCTTGAGGAACAAAGTGTCTACACGGAAACTCTTTGTAAAGTCCATAAAGATGGGTTCTACAGCTTGACTAAGAAGAACAAATTTATGATAAGGATCTAAGGGAGGGTCCAGTACCGGAAAAGTGTCTAGTCACACAGAGTGCAAAGGTCACCAGGCTAGAAAGCATGTCCCCTATGGCCTTCTGGATGGATAACAGGCTCTGTATCCCTTCCCTTGGAGGAACAACCCATTTTGCTTAACATCCCAGGTTCCCTAGTGCTTGTCTGTGAGCCCAAAGCCCTCTGTGCCCCCTGTAAGGCTGATGACTGACCCAATGATGCCCAGGCCAGCACCCCACTAAGGTTGTTCCTCTGCTCTATTGCCCCATGGTGAGCAGACAGCCAGACTGCCCCTCCCTGTTCAAAGCATAGCGGCATGAAGGGCCTGGCCCCATTCTCTCTTATGAACAAATTAAAGACTGTCCCGGAAAATACTTTAGCCAACCCCTGAGAAGTCATTGGCTGGAATCGGGACCATTTCTAGCTGCCAAGGAGTGAGAAAGGTGAGCCACAGAATCTGAGGTGTTTGAAGGACCAATCACGCTCCATCATCAGAGACTCAGTATCCACATACTCTCCCAAATCCGTGTGGCCATTACAGAAGGGGGTGGAGTCTAGTTACCAAGATGGAAGCCACCAGGTTCTGCTACATAGTTTGTCTATTTTGTCTGTGCTTCGAGTTCTTTATACACATGTCAGTCAAGGCAGACATTAGACTAATGTATAGAGAAGACATGTGTCAACATGTCTGCATCTCCTAAACTGATAAGTCTTATTGTAGGCTCACATTAGAAATTCCTGGACAAAACTGGAAACATACTAGTGCCTCGAGTCAATGCATGAAGGTTTTTTTTTTTTTTTTTTTGGATTTTTGAGACAGGGTTTCTCTGTAGCTTTTGGTTCCTGTCCTGGAACTAGCTCTTGTAGACCAGGCTGGCCTCGAACTCACAGAGATCCGCCTGCCTCTGCCTCCCGAGTGCTGGGATTAAAGGCGTGCGCCACCACCACCCGGCTGCACGAAGATTTTAATGTACTTGCTCCAGATTAACCCCTGGAATGAATTTTTTTGAGACAGGATTTCACTGTGTAGCAATAGCCTTGGCTATCCTAGAACCAGCTCTGTAGACCAGGCTGGCCTCGAACTCACAGAGATTTGCTTATTTCTGCTAAACTTTTTCTCCTCTAATCTCTATTAGTCTACATGCGGTAGTGAACACCGTCCTAACTGCAGTTTCTTCTCCCCTCAGATCGCTCATCTCTTGAGCGCTGTACTCGGCCTCTCTTTATAAAGCACAGCCGCAGCTCCTGGAGGCCCCTCCTGCGGGCAGACTGCCAGCTGCCTGTGTGTGTGAGGCAGCCCAGTCTCACTCTGGTGTGCCAGATGCCCTAGTCCAAGAAGATAACTCCAGAAACAACCAGGCTCAACCTTGGGCCTTGACTAACCTCCCTGCTGGGGCCAGAGACCAGCAGGATGGAGAGGTTCGCAAATGCGCTCCCATGCACTCCGTGGCAGAGTGTCTATCTAGCCTTAATGCAAAAGCAACCCACCCACATAGAAAAAATGGAAATATATATAATCTTATTCTTCAGACAGATGTGAAGCTGAGAAATGCCCCTGCTGACATCACAAGATGAGTCAGAGGTGAGTACATCCCCAGAAGTAATGACAGCTGGTATCCTACCATCTGGTCCTAACTCCACCACGCTTCTGAAACTGCTCGTTCCAAAGTCACAAGAGCAGTCTTATGACATGTAACGTTCATAGTTCTAGGAAAGCCCGCATCAATGCTGGGAGAAACCTCGGGCTGGGTCTTAAACTCTATACTATCATGAAATTCTTATGTTTTCAAACAAAGGCCCCACATTTCATTGTGCACCAGACTCTACAGCTATGTGTCTGGTCCTGATTAAACACACGCTCACACAAAGTCTAGCAAGGTCTGGGAGGCTAAGGGAGTAGAAGTGTGAGTCCAAGACCAGCCCGGGCTACAGCCCGGGCTTTGTGGCCAGCTTGAGCTACGTAGTGAGACAGTGTCTCAATAATAATAATAATTGGCTGAGCATGCTGGCACAGCCTTTAATCCAAGCACTCTGGAGGCAGGGGGATTTCTGAGTTCAAGGTCAACCCAGCCGTCAACAAAGCAAGTTCCAGAACAGCCAAGGCTACATACAGAAACCTTGTCTTAAATAATAATAATAATAATAATAATAATAATAATAATAATAATAACCCAGTAAGTTTTCCTTTTCAGGAAGATCTGCAGTCTGACTTTGTCCTCCTTAGAGTACTTCTCATGTCTCCCCTACTCTGTGTGGCCCCGCATTCCTCTTCCCCTCTAGTGGGAGCGAACCAGAGAGTTAGTTTCGCACAAGATCACTGATGATCAAAGGAGCATTGAGTACTTAAGTGTGGCATGGGGGTGAGAGAGATACCAACAGAAACAGGAAGTGGTTGGAGAAATTGGAGAAGGATGCGATTGGATTGTGGTCTTTGTCTGGTCACTGCCATAATACAAGTCTAGTCATGTTTTGGGCCAACGTGTTTTACCTGCCTGCAGGCTGAGGGGGTTCAGCGGGATGGTCCCTTCTTTTGAGCTTCCGTGCGTCACTATAGCTCCTGCACCAAACAGGAGGTGGTGTGGGTATGAAGACACCACAGGGGACCAGGCTGTGAGGTGGCGGCAATGTGGTCGGCTGGCCATGAGGGTCAAGAAAGTTATGCAGGAGAAGCCCATGAGCTAAGGTACTGGATGGCTCCTCTACATCAGTGGTTCTCAGCCTTCCTAACGCTGCAACCCTTTAAGACGGTTCCTCAGGTTGCGCTGACCCAGCCATAAAATTATTTTTGTTGCTACTTCGTAACTGTAGTTTTGCTGCTGTTATGGATCGTAATGTAAATGTCCATGTTTTCCAATGGTCTAAGGTAAGGACTCCCGTGAAAAGGTCATTTGAAACCCCAAAGGGGTCGCGACCCACAGGTTGAGAACTGTTGGTCTACACAGACCTCCATATCCATGACTTGGGGTCACCCCTGCTTCTGCAAACACGGGAGGTAAGGTGGAGCAGGAAAACCGGTCTCAGTGTTGCAACCATGAAGCCAGACTGAAAGAGAGTATCTGCATTTCACGTCCACGAGCTCTCTCCTGTCCACTCCACCTCATGGGGCCTCTCCATGAGCTTCCTTTGTTCAGACACAAGGACTCAGAGACACACACAAAACACTCTGTGGCCTCTAGTCCTTCCTTCCCACTCCCCAGAGGAGATGGTGTGGGGTGGGACCCACTAACAGTTCTTAGGATGAGGCCTTGAAAAATAAAAAGTCATCCTAGCCAGCTTTGGGTCTCAGGCATGAAGAAGGACTCAAAATGCCATCCTGAGAGCTCAAGAACATCACGGCACAGAGAAGTTGGCTGGAAAACCCCTAAGCCTTCAAGAGCCTTCAAAAGCCTGGTATAACCATCTACAGCAGCAAACTGAAACTGAACCACAGCGCCCCCTGGCAGTCAAGAGGGTTGGCCCGAGGAAAAGACAGAGGGATGTTGGCTAACAAAAGGCCCGTGAGGCCTACAGAGAATACAGAACAGTGGGGGAAGGCTTGAGTTGCAAGTTGCTGAAGTGGAATTGCAGGGTTCAACCAAGCAGCCATCCTTTTGGCCAGCCAGGCTCTGGACGAGGAAAGGAGACTCCGGAAGGCAGTTTTCAGCAGCAGACAGAAGGAGGCAAGCACTGAGTTGTGAGAAGAAAGCCTGAGGCAAGGAGTGGAATCCAGGCCCATCCTCCTACACACAGTTCATCAGGGTCTGGGATCTGCTCTCTCTTGGCATTGCCTGGTCAGGCCATGGCTCAGGTATCTGACACCTGGGGCCCAGAGTCACAGGCTAGGAAACTCTATACACTTGGGCCCCAGGTCGCAGCTTCCAGCCACAGCAAGCAAACAGGACTTCTGAAGGAGGAAGCGGGTCTCCAGAGCCCACTGGCAGGGGGACTACTTCTGGGGAGAAAGGTAACAGCACAGGAGAGGACTCTGCCCCCAACTGGGGTGAGAGGCAGGAAGGAAAGGGAGAGGAGGGAAGATGAGCAGGGCCATGAGCACAGAGCTGGGGAAGGCAGAGGGTGGATGCTTCCAGAAAAGGGGGCTGATGAGAGTAGAAGGTGGGACCACAAGTACCTGTTACCTGCTTGAACAGTCTGTCTGAACACTCTGGAGGCCCATCACTAATCTGCCCCTCTGGTCTTTACATTAGTGCCAACCAGACCCCCTGGTGTTTGCCTGGCCTCCCTGGCAGACCCACAGGTATGTGGAGGACAGAAATATTTATTTCAAGAAGTGAGAGGAATATAAAAACAGAAGCAATAGTTCGGAACCTGCCAGGATCATTTCAACAGGGACAAGGGACAAAGGGGCCTCATAGATTCACCTAGAATCAATAGAACCTAAAAGCTTCAAGCCTAAGGGATTCTTTCCCCTAGAAGCCTGTCAAAAACAGACAGACAGACAGACCTAGGGCTGAGAAAGCCCCCAAAGGAGAGGTTCTGGCCCAAAGAGACACCACCAAGGGACCCCAGCAGGAGAGAGCTTCAGGGGGACTTAGTATCCTAACTCTGGTCTTTCTTCCTAGGATCATCTGTTGCCCAGATTCTCCTCCACTCAAGGATTATGTTTATCTGTGACCATGCTCCTACTAGCTCCTGGCCTCCTGCCCTTCCTGCTGGTGATAAGCACAGGGGGTTCTGTGCCCAGCCCTGGGGCCATGCCCCAGGGTTGCTACATAGCGGAAGAAGCTGGCGAACAGACATTCCGCTGCAGCCAGGCTGGCCTGAGTGTGGTGCCCAGTGGCATCCCCAACAACACCCGAAAGCTTTACCTGGATGCCAACCAACTGGCATCAGTGCCAGCGGGTGCCTTCCAGCACTTGCCTGTCCTAGAAGAATTAGACCTGTCTCATAATGTCCTTGTCCACCTCTCAGGGGCTGCTTTCCAGGGCCTAGAAGGTACTCTGCGCCACCTTGATCTCTCGGCCAACCAGCTAGCATCCGTGCCTGTGGCAGCCTTCATGGGGCTGCAGATCCAAGTGAACCTGTCTGCCAACCCATGGCGCTGCGACTGTGCCCTACAGGAAGTGCTCAGGCAGGTGAGGTTAGCTCCAGGCTCTGGGACAGGCATCGTGTGTGGTCCAGGAGCCCGACCAGATCTCGTGGGACAGGAGTTCCTTCTGCTGACTAGGGAGGAAGAGCTGTGTGGCACCGGACGAGGTGGGACCCGAAGGAGCACTGATGTGGCCCTGCTAGTTACCATGGGGGGCTGGCTGACACTGGTAGCGGCTTATCTGATCCACTATGTGTGGCAGAACCGGGACGAGACCAGGCGCCCCCTCAAGCGGGCTCCTGCGCAGCCCGTGCGCTCAGAGGACTCCTCTACCCTCAGCACGATGGTCTGATGACCGGGAGCGCTCTGCGCTCTTGGTCCTATGCATTAGCCTTTCTTCTACCGCTACCACATCCCTTGCCCCATCTGCCCTCTATCTTTCCTGACCTCCTCAATGCCTTCTCTGGTGCACTCTTGTGTGGGGGTTGTGAGGGCGGGGGTGGGGGACGGCAGAATAAACAACCATCTCAGTCGGCAGCAACTCAAAGGGAGAAGACAACAGCTTAGGAGCATACTGGAAAAGCTTGAGCCTGGCAAGCTACAGGTGACCCCAGAGGCCTGGCCATACAGATGTGGGTAATGACTCTAAAGACGGCTTTGAGGGGGGCTGGGGAGATGGTTCAGACAGTGAAGAATCTATCCTGCATGAGGACCTGAGCTCAGCTCTCTGGTACCCACTTAAAAGCTGGGCACAGGGTGGGGTAACCCCAGAGCTGGGGGTGGGAGAGAGACAAACAGATCCCTGGAGTTCATTGGCCGGTCAGCCTAGCCAACAGGAAGCTCCAGGCTCAGGGGGCAACTGGACACCGGCCTGAAATCACGGGGAGAGCAATTGAGGAAGGTATTTAATGTCATCAACCTCCAGCCTCAGTTGCACCTACATGAACATGTACACATACCACGTAAACACACATCCACCCAAAATGAGGAGTTGGGAAAGCAAAGAGGATGTACAAAAGAAAGGATAACATGAGAAGACTTGGAGCCTATGGGTGAAAACCGTGGGAAGGGGGAGGGGATGGTGGGAGCAATCTGGGAATAGGAACAAAAAGCAAGCATGTAGCCATATTGAGAAGGGCCTCTGGGTTCTCCCTGCCTCCTCTCCTCCACCTTTTCTTGTTTGTTTTGTGTTTTCAAGAGTGTTTCCTGTGTAACTCTCCCTGTCCTGGAACTCACTCTGTAGACCAGGCTGGCCTGGAACTCAGAGATTCGCCTGCCTCTGCCTCCTGAGTGCAGGGTTTAATGGCGTGGGCCACCACTGCCCGGCCTTACCTCTCTCTTGTCCTCACAAGGATTCCCTGTGCCATGGTCCCCTATTTCTTTTCCAGAATTTCCCTGTCCCTCTGCCCTCTCCTTTATTCACTGACAGTTTTCCTGAGCCATTTCCCTTGGAGAAAGATGGTCCCCTTTACAGACTGAACTGAGGATGGATGACAATAAAAAATTTTTAAAACCTTTTATGAGCATCCTTGATCGCTTTCTCAGTTCATTTTACTGAACCTGTATGGTCTGGCACTGAGGTGCATGTGGAGCCCCGCCCACCACCTCACCCATCTCTCTTCCTGCTTTGGCCTCCAATGGACACTGGAGTCCTAGAGTAGGAGCCAGAGTCTATGAACTAATAAGGACGGAACCAGAAGCTTCAGCCCTACCTGCCGCTCTCCAGGAGTCAAGGAGGACAGAGGGGGTTCTAAGATGCCACCCGCCCTGTTGAGCAGGTGGGTAGCCTCGATGGTGTTACAATGTATGGCCCAGCAAAGAAGAGAAGGGAAAGCTTTTTCAAGGAGCATGGTATGTCAAAACTACCCTCTTCCACCCGGATGTACTAGAACCCCACTGCTCAGTCTCTCACTAAGGCAAGATTCCAGATACCTGGGGGCAGGCCCCAGGCTGGCGTGAACAGGCAACATACACCCTCCCTGTCCATGGAATGCGATGAATCGGTGGGAGAGAGGAGGGTAGGGACAGGGGTGCCGCTAAGAGGAAAGGAAGGGCCCGGCCCACCTCACCAACCACAGGAAGCTTAAAGAAAAAAAAAAGCCAAGCAGAACAGTTGAAGCACAGAATGGACAATGGTGTGGAGACGCTAGACATGGAGGAGGGGCAAGACCATAGGGACACTCCACGCCAGACTCTGCCCTGCCCATGGTTCCCTTCCCAGGTGTGCCTAAGGAAGGAAGCGAGACAACAAGCCCCAGAAAGCCCAGGCTTCTGTTCCTGGGAGTTGAGGACCCTATAAAATCCAGTTGCTACTGCCCGGTACCAAAGCTCAATCTGAGCGTGGACACACGAGGTTTCGGGTGCTAGAAGATGAGGTGAAGGTTAAACTGCGATTCTGAAAGGCTGGATCCCGCTGGCGCACTTCTCACAAAGGGAAAAGAGTACTAAGCGGGTCCCAGGGCAGAGCTTGCACAGGCTTGGGACAAAGTGACCGCAGGAGAGGCCGAAGGCGGGCGGGTGGGCGGAGCCTGAGAGGAGTGGGAAGGCGGAGTAATTAGTGATGGGGGGGGGAGTGGGCGGGATTGCGCGGTGCAGGGCGCAATAATTAGTGATGGGGCGGGTGTGTGTGTGTGTGTGTGTATGTGTGTGTGTGTGTGTGTGTGTGTGTATGTAGACTGGGCCATGACCTAAGGAGGCGGGAGGCGGGGCCGAAGGGGTGGGGTGGGGCCGGGGTGGGACGGAAGGAAGGTGGGAGGTGTTGCTGAAGCAGGCTGGAGGCTTGGATGGGTTGCCCTGGCAGCTAAGAACGGAAGAGTAGCAGCTTTGGGGACAGTGCAGCGCTGACGCCGAGCTAGGATGGCGACTCCTGGGTACTGGGGGCAGGGCTGGTCATCCGAGGGTAGGGCTACGGGCTGCTGGGGCGGGAGAAGGGCTTAACTGGGGCCTTAACTGGGAGATTTATCTTTAGCCTCCAGGAGAGTCTGTAACTTTCGCCAAAAGGAATGCCCACTACCCGCCCTCCGGAAGCTTCCTGTTCCTTGAACTGCAGAAGTATCTCATGTGTTTGGTGATGGCCTGGGATTTTATGGAGCCAAGTGGTCTTGGGAGGGAGGCATGGAGACAGTCCTTAAACAGCTATGGAGACTTCAAGTAAGCTCCACGCCCGAGCTGTCTAGGAACATCTTCCAATCCTCTATGTACTGGGCCTGCCAGAATTGGCACAATAGCACCAAGGAGAACCTACTGTATGATATGTAGGTATTAGTGCAAAAGGAAAGTGCAGAGTTACTTGTTCAAAAAAAAATAATAAAAATAATTGGGCTGGAGAGATGGCTCAGCAGAATACCCAGGGTTTGATTCCCATCACCCACATAGCAGCTCTCAACTGTCTGTAACTCCAGTCTCAGGGGATCTGACGCCCTCTTCAGGCCTTCATGAGCACTGCATGCACATGGTACACACTCATACACATGAAATAAAAATAAACGAAATCTAAGCCTGGAAGTGGTGGTGCACACCTTTAATCCCAGCACTCGGGAGGCAGAGACAGGCGATCTCTGTGAGTTCGAGGCCAGCCTGATCTACAGAGTGAGTTCCAGGACAGGTTCCAAAGCTATACAGAGAAACCCTGGATGGATGGATGGATAGATAGATAGATAGATAGATAGATAGATAGAATGAAAAAGATGAAACCCGGACATAGTGGCATACGTTTATAATCCTAGCACTGGAATTCTGAAGTGGGAAAACTGCCGAGAATTTGAAGCCAGTCTGGGTTATATAACAATGCTCTGCCTCAAAACAAGCAAGCAATTTGCAATTCTAGCACTTGGAAGGCCAAGGCAGGGAAAACAGAGGAATTCAAGACAGTTAATGCAGAGACTCATAGTTGGCAAAAATGCTCAGCCCTAAATGGGCTATGTGTACCAACCCCACCCCAAGGCTCCAGAAACACCCTGGCAGGAACCCAAAGCACGGAAGAGCCAGAGGGTGGAGAAGAGGGCTGTGAAGTGTCTCCTGGGCATGCCATGTCATGGCCCCATGGACTCACTCAGCTATGGTTACTGAAACAGGATCAGCACAAGATTAAGCCCACAGCATCAGCCAACATCCCAATGGGCAGCACTAAGTGGACTCAGTGTTGGGGAGAGAAGAGGACATGAAGTGGAGAAGAGGCCATGTTGGGGAACACCTGGGGGAGTGAGAGGGGAGGAGTTGGAGATGTATGACCAAAATACATCGTTAACAAGAACTAAATTGGATGTGGAGTAAGGGGTACACTCATCCATTGCTGGTGGGAATGCAAACTTGTGCAACCACTTTGGAAAGCAGTGTGGCGGTTTCTCAGGAAATTCGGGATCAACCTACCCCTGGACCCAGCAATACCACTCTTGGGAATATACCCAAGAGATGCCCTATCAGACAAGAAAAGTATATGCTCAACTATGTTCATAGCAGCATTGTTTGTTGTCAGGAGCCATTTCCCCCCTATCATTACAGGAACCATCACCCTGGGGAGTCTGCAGGGAACCTCACACCCATAATTATGTTCTATTGACAGAATCTGCTTCTCACCCAATTAACTGTTAATCTATTAGCAGAATACACCTCACATTCCAGCTACCCAGGGAACCAGGTGTGGCAACTCGTGACTTCCTGGCCCTATCTGTCTGTCTGAATGTAACCTAGCCTACGTGACCTGGAACACGCGGCAAGAATCCAGTACCCTGCCCC